TACACACATATATCTCTATATATACACATACATACACATATATACACATACACACATATATACACATATCTCTATATATACACATACATACACATATCTCTATATATACACACATACATATACATATATACACATACATACACATATACATATACACATTATATCTCTATATATACACACATATATACACATTATATATACATACATACACACACACACACACGTATCTCTATATATACACATACATACATACATATATATACATACACACACACACACACACACATACAGTGGGGAGAACAAGTATTTGATACACTGACGATTTTGCAGGTTTTCCTACTTACAAAGCATGTAGAGGTCTGTAATTTCTATCATAGGTACACTTCAACTGTGAGAGACGGAATCTAAAACAAAAATCCAGAAAATCACATTGTATGATTTTTAAGTAATTAATTTGCATTTTATTGCATGACATAAGTATTTGATCACCTACCAACCAGTAAGAATTCCGGCTCTCACAGACCTGTTAGTTTTTCTTTAAGAAGCCCTCCTGTTCTCCACTCATTACCTGTATTAACTGCACCTGTTTGAACTCGTTACCTGTATAAAAGACACCTGTCCACACACTCAATCAAACACTCCAACCTCTCCACAATGGCCAAGACCAGAGAGCTGTGTAAGGACATCATGGATAGAATTGTAGACCTGCACAAGGCTGGGATGGGCTACAGGACAATAGGCAAGCAGCTTGGTGAGAAGGCAACAACTGTTGGCGCAATTATTAGAAAATGGAAGAAGATCAAGATTACGGTCATTCACCCTCGGTCTGGGGCTCCATGCAAGATCTCACCTTGTGGGGCATCAATGATCATGAGGAAGGTGAGGGATAAACCCAGAACTACACGGCAGGACCTGGTCAATGACCTGAAGAGAGCTGGGACCACAGTCTCAAAGAAAACCATTAGTAACACACTACGCCGTCATGGATTAAAATCCTGCAGCGCACGCAAGGTCCCCCTGCTCAAGCCAGCGCATGTCCAGGCCCATCTGAAGTTTGACAATGACCATCTGGATGATTCAGAGGAGGAATGGGAGAAGGTCATGTGGTCTGATGAGACAAAAATATAGCTTTTTGGTCTAAACTCCACTCGCCGTGTTTGGAAGAAGAAGAATGAGTACAACCCCAAGAACACCATCCCAACCGTGAAGCATGGTGGTGGAAACATCATTCTTTGGGGATGCTTTTCTGCAAAGGGGACAGGACGACTGCACCGTATTGAGGGGAGGATGGATGGGGCTATGTATCGCGAGATCTTGGCCAACAACCTCCTTCCCTCAGTAAGAGCATTGAAGATGGTCATGGCTGGGTCTTCCAGCATGACAACGACCCGAAACACACAGCCAGGGCAACTAAGGAGTGGCTCCGTAAGAAGCATCTCAAGGTCCTGGAGTGGCCTAGCCAGTCTCCAGACCTGAACCCAATAGAAAATCTTTGGAGGGAGCTGAAAGTCCGTATTGCCCAGCGACAGCCCCGAAACCTGAAGGATCTGGAGAAGGTCTGTATGGAGGAGTGGGCCAAAATCCCTGCTGCAGTGTGTGCAAACCTGGTCAAGACCTACAGGAAACGTATGATCTCTGTAATTGCAAATGAAGGTTTCTGTACCAAATATTAAGTTCTGCTTTTCTGATGTATCAAATACTTATGTCATGCAATAAAATGCAAATTAATTACTTAAAAAATCATACAATGTGATTTTCTGGATTTTTGTTTTAGATTCCGTCTCTCACAGTTGAAGTGTACCTATGATAAAAATTACAGACCTCTACATGCTTTGTAAGTAGGAAAACCTGCAAAATCGGCAGTGTATCAAAAACTTGTTCTCCCCACTGTATATACATATATACAGTGGGGGAAAAAAGTATTTAGTCAGCCACCAATTGTGCAAGTTCTCCCACTTAAAAAGATGAGAGAGGCCTGTAATTTTCATCATAGGTACACGTCAACTATGACAGACAAAATGAGGGGAAAAAAATCCAGAAAATCACATTGTAGGATTTTTAATGAATTTATTTGCAAGTTATGGTGGAAAATAAGTATTTGGTCAATAACAAAAGTTTCTCAATACTTTGTTATATACCCTTTGATGGCAATGACACAGGTCAAACGTTTTCTGTAAGTCTTCACAAGGTTTTCACACACTGTTGCTGGTATTTTGGCCCATTCCTCCATGCAGATCTCCTCTAGAGCAGTGATGTTTTGGGGCTGTTGCTGGGCAACACTGACTTTCATCTTCCTCCAAAGATTTTCTATGGGGTTGAGATCTGGAGACTGGCTAGGCCACTCCAGGACCTTGAAATGCTTCTTACGAAGCCACTCCTTCGTTGCCCGGGCGGTGTGTTTGGGATCATTGCCATGCTGAAAGACCCAGCCACGATTCATCTTCAATGCCCTTGCTGATGGTAGGAGGTTTTCACTCAAAATCTCACGATACATGGCCCCATTCATTCTTTCCTTTACACGGATCAGTCGTCCTGGTCCCTTTGCAGAAAAACAGCCCCAAAGCATGATGTTTCCATCCCCATGCTTCACAGTAGGTATGGTGTTCTTTGGATGCAACTCAGCATTCTTTGTCCTCCAAACACGACGAGTTGAGTTTTTACCAAAAAGTTCTATTTTGGTTTCATCTGACCATATGACATTCTCCCAATCGTCTTCTGGATCATCCAAATGCACTCTAGCAAACTTCAGACGGGCCTGGACATGTACTGGCTTAAGCAGGGGGACACGTCTGGCACTGCAGGATTTGAGTCCCTGGCGGCGTAGTGTGTTACTGATGGTAGGCTTTGTTACTTTGGTCCCAGCTCTCTGCAGGTCATTCACTAGTTCCCCCCGTGTGGTTCTGGGATTTTTGCTCACCGTTCTTGTGATCATTTTGACCCCACGGGGTGAGATCTTGCGTGGAGCCCCAGATCGAGGGAGATTATCAGTGGTCTTGTATGTCTTCCATTTCCTAATAATTGCTCCCACAGTTGATTTCTTCAAACCAAGCGGCTTACCTATTGCAGATTCAGTCTTCCTAACCTGGTGCAGGTCTACAATTTTGTTTCTGGTGTCCTTTGACAGCTCTTTGGTCTTGGCCATAGTGGAGTTTGGAGTGTGACTGTTTGAGGTTGTGGACAGGTGTCTTTTATACTGATAACAACTTCAAATAGGTGCCATTAATACAGGTAACGAGTGGAGGAGAGAGGAGCCTCTTAAAGAAGAAGTTACAGGTCTGTGAGAGCCAGAAATCTTGCTTGTTTGTAGGTGACCCAATACTTATTTTCCACCATAATTTGCAAATAAATTCATTAAAAATCCTACAATGTGATTTTCTGGGAAAAAAATTCTCAATGTCTGTAATAGTTGACGTGTACCTATGATGAAAATTACAGGCCTCTCTCATCTTTTTAAGTGGGAGAACTTGCACAATTGGTGGCTGACTAAATACTTTTTCCCCCCACTGTATATATATATATATATATATATAAGCTTTTTCCACATCTCTCTACCTCTATCCCTTATCTCCATCTCGCTCCCTGTCCTCTAATCTCTCCACCTCTTACGCACTCTCCTCTAACTCAATCTTTCTCCCTCTACCACATCTCTCCCCTCCTTTCTCTCCCCCTCCTTCTCTCTCACCTTCACTCCGCCTCTCTGTCCATTTCCCTCTTCCGCCTTCTCCCTCCCTTTACTCCCTCCATCCTTCCTATCTCTCTGAGGGCCTCAGTCTTTGAGTTTATTTCCCCATTACTGTGCTCTCTGACAAGCTGCTCTGGAGATGTCCAGCCTAGCCTAGACCCCTGTGGGTCTGTCAGTAATTACTGAACAAAATAACACCATCTCTCTCCCTCTCCCTCCCTCCAGTAAGCGTTGTTAAATATTCATGCTCCTCCTCTCTGCATCCTGGTGACATTAGAACAGCAGGTGCACAGCTCAATCTCACTAATTAGAAACGCTACCCCAGACAGAGCACACACACACACATCTGTCATTTTGGTAAAACATACTGGTGGAAAGACTTTTGTGTAACAGTAACTTTTAAATAGACCAGGAAAGAACAGCTGTATATTGCACTAGTTCAACCACAACCACATACTGACCCAAATCTGTAGTAATAGGTTATGTTTCCATTGAGCAGATATAGAGGTCTACTGAGTGGTTCAGTTCTCTTATAATATGCCATTTAGCAGACGCTTTTATCCAAAGCGACTTACAGTCATGCGTGCATAAATTTTTGTGTATGGGTGGTCCCGGGGATCGAACCCACTACCTTGGCGTTACAAGCGCCGTGCTCTACCAGTTGAGCTACAGAGGACCACATCTTAGAGAAGATCTCAGCAACAAACTTCAGAGTGAACAAATATGCTTCAGGATCTCCTTTGGAAGTTCAACATCTCTGCTGTTCTGGAATGTCTTTGTTGAATCACATCCTCGTTCCTCCAGGAAGGGCAGGTGTAGAGACATGCACCCAGGGAGTCTACCCTTTCCTGGAAGGCCAGGGCAATCATCAGCGACTCCTCCAATGAGTTGATCGGAGACAAGAGGGAACTGGGGGGAGCGCTCTACATCAGCTGGGTGGGTGCAGCCTTTCTCCTGATTGGAGGGGCTGTATGGTCTCCATGATGTATGCACTCACTAACTGTAAGTCGCTCTGGATAAGAGCGTCTGCTAAATGACTAAAATTTAAAAAATTTAAATGTAATACTTAGCAGAACTCCGTATACAAGCAGAACAGAGCTTGCAGACATCCCCACGGGGGTCATAGGAAGGATAATTTCCATTGTGCCCTGTGCAATACAGGTTCTGTCCTGGTCCTTCTCCATTGTCCTTGGGTTTCTAGGGCTGATATTATTGTTTTGCGGGGTCAAAGTACATAAACTGCATCAAGAGGAATACTTACAATGCTGAAGGGAATAACTCTGCTTGAATATTGTTCATCATGGCTACTTTTGTCCAGCGGATCTTTTTCTTCTTTGTTTCCCTTGACAACAAACTCCAACCCTGACAACAATACCTTTATGTTTTCAGTTGAACTCAGTAGGTGGGCTGCTTCACTGCTTCTGATAGGAGGGTCCATACTCTTCTGCTGCTTTAAGAAAGAAAAGTGAGAGTTGACAACGGACTCTTATGCCTTGAATCTTGTCTTACGTGACCTTAATTTATCTTAGGTCTACCACTTCTGTGTTTGTGAATCTGAGAGCAGCCAATAGATTTAAGCAATATGATGATTGGTGATGGCTACGCTTCATAGTCTTCTACACCCACATTGGACCCAGCAGAGTAAGATTGCCCACCACTTGTCTTGACTCAGTGACAGATGGAACAGGCTCACAGTATCCACTTCCTTGTCAAAACACTTGAAAGGGACATGTAGATGTTGTTTAAGGGCTGGTTGAGGTGGGATTTGTTATCGGTAGAGGAACTTCCACCCAAATAAATTGCTTTTCCATTATTATGAATTGCTTTTCCGTTATTATTTATAATAAAATGTTATTATTCAACTCCTAACTTAATTTGTTCATTGGGTGGAGCTGTACATTGCACTAGTTTTTCAGCCATGTGGGTATCAACCACAACCACAAACTGCCTCAAATATGTATCAATAGGTTGTTTCCATGATGACATCACAGCATTGAGCAGATAGAGGTCTACTGAGTGGTTCAGTTCTCTTATCTTACAGAAGACCTCAGCAGCAAACTTCAGAGTAAGAATCTGCTGTTCTAGAACTTTGTAAAAAGACTGAAGGTGTCATAGCTCTAGGATCTCCTCTGGAAGTTCAACATCTCAGCAGTTTTGTAATGTCTTTGTTGAGTCACATCCTTGTTCCTCCGGGAAGGGCAGGTGTAGAGAGACGCACTCAGGGACTCAGTATGTCGATGGGCATGGAGATCATGGGCATCGCCCTGGGAGTCATAGGATTAATCACAACCATTTTAGTGTGTGCACTCCCCACCTGGATGGAGACAACCTTCATAGCAACTAACTTTGTCACTATGGAGGTGGTCTGGGATGGCCTGTGGATGAGCTGTGTGAAAAGGAGCACGAGCCAGATGCAGTGTGAGGTCTACGACTCCATGCCAAGCTCTGTATGGAGCTCAAACCTGCAGGCCGCCAGAGCCATTACCATCATCGCCATTATCCTGGGGTTTCTGGGGGTCATGGTCTCCATGGTCGGGGACAAGACCACCAACTGCATTAAGGGAATATTCTTCATTTTGGCCGGAATTCTCATCCTCATTCCTGTCTCCTGGAAGGCCAGGGCAATCATCAGCGACTCCTCCAAATTGTTGTTCGGAGTGAAGAGGGAACTGGGGGGAGCTCTCTACTTCGGCTGGGTGGGTGCAGCTTTTCTCCTGATTGGAGGGGTCATACTTAGTAGAACTCTGTATACAAGCAGGATCGAGGTTGCTGGCATCACCACGGTCATAGGATGGATAATCTCCATGGTGCCCTGTGCTTGTGCTTTAGGAATGTTAGACCTTCTGCAATACAGGGCACTGGTTCTTCTGTCCTTCTCCTGCTTCTCCATCATGTTTGGGTTTCTAGGACTGATATTCGGGTCAGGCTGCATCAAGAGGAATATGTCTAAAGCTGAAGTGAGTAACTCTGCCGGAATATTGTTCATCATGGCTGGTATTTTCCAGCTGATCATTACCTCCTTTGTTGCCTTCGACTTGACACAAAACTCGGAACCTGAGAATGTCCTACGGAGTGATGCCCTCATGTTTTCAGCTGAACTCAGTAGGTGGGCCGCTTCACTGCTTCTGATAGGAGGGACTATACTCTGCTGCTGCGTTAAAAAGAAAATATTTAAGAAAGAAAAGCCGAAGTCGACAATTGACTCTAATGACCTAAATCGTGTCTTACATGATCTTTATTTATTTTAACCTTACCACTTCTGTGTTTGCTAATTTGAGAATAGCAAATAGGTGTAAGCAATAAGATGATTGGTGATGTCTACATTTCATGGTCTGTAACAACACTGGACACTGCAGGGTAAGATTGCCCACCACTTGTCTTGACTCAGTGATGCATGGAACAGACTCACAGTATTCACTTCCTTTTTAAAACCTTTGGAAGGGACATGTACAGTGGTACAGTATTTAGTCAGCCACCAATTGCGCAAGTTCTCCCATTTAAAAAAGATAAGAGAGGCCTGTAATTTTCATCATAGGTACAGGTCAACTATGACAGACAAAATGAGAAAAATAATTCCAGAAAATCACATTGTAGGATTTTTAATGAATTTATTTGCAAATTATGGTGGAAAATAAGTATTTGGTCAATAACAAAAGTTTCTCAATACTTTGTTATATACCCTTTGTTGGCAATGACACAGGTCAAACGTTTTCTGTAAGTCTTCACAAGGTTTTCACACACTGTTGCTGGTATTTTGGCCCATTCCTCCATGCAGATCTCCTCTAGAGCAGTGATGTTTTGGGGCTGTCGCTGGGCAACACAGACTTTCAACTCCCTCCAAAGATTTTCTATGGGGTTGAGATCTGGAGACTGGCTAGGCCACTCCAGAACCTTGAAATGCTTCTTACGAAGCCACTCCTTCGTTGCCCGGGCGGTGTGTTTGGGATCATTGTCATGCTGAAAGACCCAGCCACGTTTCATCTTCAATGCCCTTGCTGATGGAAGGAGGTTTTCACTCAAAATCTCACGATACATGGCCCCATTCATTCTTTCCTTTACACGGATCAGTCGTCCTGGTCCCTTTGCAGAAAAACAGCCCCAAAGCATGATGTTTCCACCCCCATGCTTCACAGTAGGTATGGTGTTCTTTGGATGCAACTCAGCATTCTTTGTCCTCCAAACACGACGAGTTGAGTTTTTACCAAAAAGTTCTATTTTGGTTTCATCTGACCATATGACATTCTCCCAATCCTCTTCTGGATCATCCAAATGCACTCTAGCAAACTTCAGACGGGCCTGGACATGTACTGGCTTAAGCAGGGGGACACGTCTGGCACTGCAGGATTTGAGTCCCTGGCGGCGTAGTGTGTTACTGATGGTAGGCTTTGTTACTTTGGTCCCAGCTCTCTGCAGGTCATTCACTAGGTCCCCCCGTGTGGTTCTGGGATTTTTGCTCACCGTTCTTGTGATCATTTTGACCCCACAGGGTGAGATCTTGTGTGGAGCCCCAGATCGAGGGAGATTATCAGTGGTCTTGTATGTCTTCCATTTCCTAATAATTGCTCCCACAGTTGATTTCTTCAAACCAATCTGCTATTGCAGATTCAGTCTTCCCAGCCTGGTGCAGGTCTACAATTTTGTTTCTGGTGTCCTTTGACAGCTCGTTGGTCTTGGCCATAGTGGAGTTTGGAGTGTGACTGTTTGAGGTTGTGGACAGGTGTCTTTTATACTGATAAGTTCAAACAGGTGCCATTAATACAGGTAACGAGTGGAGGACAGAGGAGCCTCTTAAAGAAGAAGTTACAGGTCTGTGAGAGCCAGAAATCTTGCTTGTTTGTAGGTGACCAAATACTTATTTTCCACCATAATTTGCAAATAAATTCATAAAAAATCCTACAATGTGATTTTCTGGAAAAAAATGCTCAATTTGTCTGTCATAGTTGACGTGTACCTATGATGAAAATTACAGGCCTCTCATCTTTTTAAGTGGGAGAACTTGCACAATTGGTGGCTGACTAAATACTTTTTTTCCCCACTGTAGATGTTGTCTAAGGGCTGGTTGAGGTGGGACGTTTTATAGGTGGTGGAACTGCCACCAAAGTCAATTGCTTTCCCATTATTATGAATTGCTTTTTCCATTATTATTTACAATAAAATGGTATTATTCAACTCCTGTGCTGTCTCCTAACTTCATTTGTTCATTGGGTGGAGCTATGTTCTTCCTCATAGCTCAGGGGTTATTTCTGGACAGGGATAACATTTCTTATCAAGGCGTAGGTGTAGGTGGTCTGAGTTTATAACCAGATGACAGTGGATCAAACAATACGATTGTATCATTACCCAAATAAGCAGGGGCACACACACACACACACACACACACACACGTAAACAGTTAACATTTGCTCCCTATTGTGTGTTCAGTGAATCAGTAATTTAGGTGAAACGTAGATGTGAAAAAATACCTTTCTATGACTTCTCTATAACTTTTAATAGATGAGGCAGTCAAAGCCATAGAATTAGGAATTAGAATACTAGAATGGACATGAATGTTATTATGACAGTATAAAATGTCAGCCATTTTGGTCAGGGAGTAGGTCAGTTGGTCCTCAACTACACTGATTGAAGTGGATTTAAGTGACATCAATAAGGGATCATAGCTGTCACCTGGATTAACCTGGTCAGTCTGTCATGGAAAGAGCAGGTGTCCTTAATGTTTTCTACACTCAGCGTATATTTTAGAGGCTATTTATACAGAGTCGGTATAAAACCTGTATTAACTATAATTATATACGATTATTTTAGGTTGACAATATTTCTATTACACAATTTCAGAATTCCAACTAAAATCTGCGGATTTTCAAATAAAATGCATAGGATTCTAAAGTTCAATAAAATTGACTTGTTGTTGAATGTAAGTTTTTCCCTCTGTTTTCATTTATGTATTTCAATCACAGAAAAGCCAGAGGTGTAGCCCCTCCCCTGTGTGAGTGAGAGGTGCAGGGTGCAGACAGCTCCGTGAATAAATGACAGCTGTCTGTGGAGAGAAGTATAAAAAAAAAGAAGAAAGATTTACAGCAGAGGAGCAGAGGAGTAAACACTTGGCGACCAGAATAACAGCCAGGGACAGGGCCAGGGAGTTTCCAGCTGAACTGTACGAGGATGGCGGAGTACTTGTCTGCAAAGTCTGTCAGCATTCAATCGACTACATACTGCGTCAAACTGCGGTAGAGCACCTGAGGCCACTCCGACACAAAAATATGAGGGATAGTGGACCAGGTAAACATTAGGATGCTTTAGCTAGCTACATATATATTAACTAGCTAGTAGGTTTGTTCTAGTTAGCTAATATCTGTTCTTGACAATTACATTTTTTGTCTGTATCTATATAGAGTGGCAAGTTAGCTAGCTAACGTTAGCCTGGCAAGCTTCCCATGTTGTCACTCCAGCTCCAGCACGTCATTTAGGCTAGCTAGCTAACTTAGCTGAGGTAATGTTAGCTAGCTAACAAATTAGCCAAAGTGACGTGGTGGACCTATCAAAAACAAGTGACAAGTTAGGAATTACAAAAGCAGCAAGTCTCCAACATATGTTTTGTGACTTTTTTGTGACTTTTTTTAGTTAACTATCATTATTTGAAAATGTCTTTGTGTGTGAGACATACTGTCAGGTTTATGGGCTGTGTGTGTGTGTGTGTGTGTGTCTGTGTGTGTCGCTTCAGGAGAGTGTGTGCTTAGCTTCAAAGCTTGAGATCCACTGTCGCCTGCTATTGAACTCAACCTGAGAATTCTTAATTTACCAAATTTAACCATTGTTCTCTATTTTCTACACTTGTTTCAGTCCAAACAAGAACCAGACCCCTCCTGTCTGACAAAGACCCCCTTCACAGCTGAGAGAAAGGAGTTCATCTTGGACTTCACAAGAACATTAATCAAAGCAGATACCTCTTGAGAAGGGGCCCAAGTTCTCCACATTTCTGAAGAAACACTGCAAGCAGAGAGGGTCTATCCCAGCACCATCCCATCTGCGTACAGAGTACCTGCCAGACCTCTATCCACAATATGAGCAGGACATCAGAGTCGCTGTAGAGGGAAAGGACATTTATGTCATCCTTGATGAGACGACCGATGCCTTTGGAAGATGTGCACTCGCAATCCTACACCAGCCAGTGGGTGAACGACCTGTTGTAGCAGATCTAGCCTTCTTGGATAAAGTAAACTATACCATTGTCCCCCAAGCTGTCATTTCCTGTCTCAACAATAATGGGGTTGACTTTAACAATGTGTGGGCTTTTGTAAGCGACTCAGCTAGCTACATGACGAAGGCTTTCACCAGCATCTTGAAGGGCCTCTTCCCCAACTCCAGACACGTCACCTGCTTTGCCCATCTCCTGAGCCTGGTGCTGGAGGACGTGAACAGGCTGTGTGCTCTGGTGAGGAAGGTGTTCTGTCAGGCACCCCAGTGTCGTCTGGAGTAGAGATCATTCATACTGGAAAATGCCAATTCTCCTGTAATGCCTGTGTATGCTGTGCAGACCAGGTGGGCCTCCTGGATACGTGCTGTGGAGTACCTGGCAGAGTATATGGATGTGCTCACGACTTCACTACGACCTTACCGGAAACAGCGAAGTGTGTCCAGGACCTTTGTGAGCTGCTGAGGGAACACAAGGCCCAGCTGAAGGCCCAGGCAGTGTTCATTGTGGAGCATAGCGTGGAGACAATGGCTAACCTGACAAAGCTGGAGGAGACCTCTGTGCCAACAGCCCACAACATCGCCAGCAAGCTAGAGGACCTGCAAATGCAGTTTGAGAATGGCAGAACATACAACTGAACTGCTTGGGCAGCTTCCAGAGGAAGACAGGAACTGAGTTGTTCCAGTCTGCCATGGCAGCATGCTACAGACTGTGCTGGAGAAGCACCCCTGCCTTCACCTGTTCAAGGCACTAACTGTTCTAGATCCAGCCCAGGTGGTAGGCGCAAGAAAGGAAATTAAGTACTATGTCCATGCCATCCCTGCTCTACATGGGCATCGACAAGGCAGACGCTATGGAAGAAAGTGCAGTGGACCGGTGGGAAGCTAGGCAGGACAGTTTGCCAGCCTTAGCTCACATTGCGGCAATACATCTGTGCCTCCCCACTATCTCAGTGGATGTAAAGATACTTTTCTTGCATTATCATAAGCTACTTAGTCAGCGTAGAAGGAGCCTCACAGAGAAAAA